ATTAATTCAGCAGCATTTATTAAGTGCTTACTATGTTCAAAGCACCCTGCTAGGTCCTGAGAGAGAAAGAGAGAGGGAGAGACAGAGAGACAGAAAGAAGAGAGAAACATAGAAAAACAGAAGAGAAAGAGAAGAGAAGGTGATAGATGGCAGACCTTGGGTGACACACTGAGGAGATAAGTGTCTGGCTCTCTCGATGATTAGAATCAACCTTAAATGGAGGCCAAATCAATTTATTTCCCTCAGCCATAGGTTGAAATCACAGAAATAAAAGAAGTTTGATTGATACTTTTTGTTTGTGTATAACAGTCATCACATCTGGATATAATCTGCCCTGTCACCATGGAATGAGACTCTTCCTTCTTACAAAGAAAAATCTTCTTTGAAGTATTTGTACCTAGTTATCATGGCTCTGTTAAGTCTCTCTTCTCTATGCTACATATTCCCAGTTCCTTCATCCAGTCCTCTATGGCATGAATTTGAGTTCTTTTAATATCCTGGTTGTCCTCATGAAGAAATTCTTTAGACTATCAATGTAAAGGAGAAATTAGGTTAATTCCTAAAATATGGCTTTTCTAATGGAATACTATTCTCTCGACGTTGTCTGGAAAGGGCAAAATACAGCAACAAGAGTCTTACCTCCCTCCTTGCCCCTTCTCCAGTTCTGGACACTGCATAATTCCTAATGCAATTTTCTTAGCTGTCACATCATATTGTTAAGTCATGTTGAGTTTGCAGTCCAGTATAACTCCATCTTTTCCTAATGAACTGCTATTTAGCTATACCTCCTGAAACTTGTGCAAATTTTTTTTTTGAACCCTGGTGTTAGACTTTGCATTTATCACGATTATGAGGATAATGATACAGAGGGATTTTGAAGTGTTAGGAAAGGAAGCAAGACAGATGGCCTCAGTTTTTTCAATAAAGTCAGAGGTAAAGTAATCTATGAGAGAAGTTCAGGGTGATGGGGCCTTGTGGGGAAGAGGAGAAAATTTGGAATAATGGTAAACAATTCCTGCAATTCGCTCCCTCCTTATCTCAGCCTCCTGATGTCACTGGATTCCTTCAGGTCACAGCAAAAAATCTCTCCTGCAAAAAAGCCTTTCTCTGTCCTCAATCTTAGGACCATTCCCTTGTTGATTATCTCCGATTTATCTTGTGTGTACTGTATCTTCTTTCAATAGAGTTGTTTGCATGTTGTCTCCCCCCTTAGACTGTGAGCTCCTTGAGTGCGTGAACTGTGTAATACTTTTCTTTGTATCCCAAGCACTTAGCACAGTGCCTGCTATGTAGTAGGCACTTAATAAATGTTTGTTAACTAGACTTGACTGGACATGATATAGAATCAATCAAGAAAGCATAAAAGGAGCGCCATGCTCAGTTGAAACTGGATAACATGAATTTATAGTGGAGCCAGCCAAGCACATTTGGGTAACTTTCACCAGCAACATTATTTAGCAGCTAAAGAACAGGAGTAGATTGAATAGGAGCAACTGCTGGAGTTGAGAATTGAGGAATGGCAGGTAGGTAAGTGATAAAAGAAAGACAAGGGTAGTGAGGAGAAAAGATATTGAAGAATGAAGGATGATGCCTAATTAAACTATCTAACTATAAGGGTCAAAAAAGAAGGAAGGAAAATGAGTCCAGAATAGGGTTAACTAATGGAATGGAAAATCAGGGAAGGGTGGAGGTATTAGGGCCCAAGGTGGTGGCAAAGAATAGATTTAGAAGGTGGGAAGAAGTGAGAAAAATGAAAGGACAGGAGATTATGATCAGAGAGGGAATTTTAGCATTCCATAAAAATGCCCAATCACATGATAATAATAAACATTAATTACCACAGAAAATATATAGCAATTAAAACCTTACAAATAGCATATTTAATGCATTTATTTTTCTGTACTGCTAACTCTCAAATGAAATAAATTTTTTTTCCCATCATACCATTTAGTTTTATTTTCAAGGAAATAATCTGTAATGACTGGGTTATAAAATGTATTTCTAACATTGATTAAAAAGGAAGTTTTAAAAAAAGTTAAGCACCAATAAAATAGGAAAAAACACAAAGGCAAAGTCATACTAACCAAAAAAGATAGATCATATTAATGATGAGCAAGTTTCATCAACAATAAATAAACTAAGACTACCATGGTACTTTAGTTATCTGGTTAGGTGGATGAGTTGTGGGTTCTGGCTGATTGAATTTTCTGGCTAAGTGAACCTGAGCTTATTTATGCAGCAAAGATGCTCAAGGCAAAGATGCTCCTGGGTAAGATGCATAGACTTGAACCTCCAAATGCCTTTTTCAGGTGTGAGTAACTAACATGATCCTTTAATCATGTGCCTATATCTACAAAAATAACCAGAAATCTTTTATCCACTAATCAGGCCATCCCCAGCACACCATGATAGAATCATAGGATTTCAGCACTGAAAGGGACCTCAAGATCAAGGCACAAAGTTAGAGTTGTTCTTGCTGACTTTACCTGAGGAAAACTAACATTGAGAGAGGAAGAAAACATTTTTGCAAGATGTAGAAGCTAGAATACTTTAGAAGTCCATAAAAAACAAAAAATAAAATCTAGTTAAAGATGTAAGAAGCCAGAGATGAATCTTCAAAGCAATGAAGCATTAGAAAGTATTGAGTAAAAATGATACTAGCTCACATTTCTATATCGTTTATAAAGCACTTTCCTCACAGTCACCATAATGAAGTAGGCAGTCAATCTTATTGACCCAGTTTCATAGCCACAGAAATAGGCACAGAGAAGTTAAATGACTTGCCAATGATAATATGACTTTTAGATGTAAGAGACAGGATTCACATTCAGGTCTTTTGACTCAGTCTCTTTCCAATATGCCATGCTGTCTTTAAAGAGGCAGGGATACAAATGTTAATAGAGCTGCTTTTGTTTCTCTTGATGAGTGGATTAAACCATAAATGGAGGTCAATTTGTTTCTCTCAGCTATAGGTTAAAACCACAGAAGTAAAAAGCAGAAAAATTTTTAAAAAGTTCTTGAGATATGACAGGTAAATGGGTTAGCAGAGATTTTAGGACATTTTTGTGGGCCCCACTAGCCTTTATTCCTAGTTTCTAATTTATGGACACTGTGATGTTTAAGAAGTTCAAGAGACATAGTTTCTGGGTAATTTAATCATTTTATTAATGAGCCTACTATGCTATTAATAAAAGAGGTCAGTGGCACTCTTGAATGCCAGACACCTCATGGAGGTGGACTTACCCCATGTCCTTGGAACAGCAGGTGTTCCTGAGGGTGGCAATCAACTCTGGTTAATGATTAATGAAAAAATGAATATTATAATAAGAGGTGGGTTATATTACAATGGGGGTCTTGAGGTATGTGACACTGAGCACCCAAATCTTGGTCAAAGAGGCATTGTTTTCCATATCACCTCTCTGATAAAAGGAGAAACCATATTTTCCTAGAGCTGTTTGAGTAAACACGAGCAGGAATCCAACCATTTGCCAAAACTTAGAATTTCTTTTACTGTCTTTGATTACGTCTTAGCCTGGGTAAGTCTTTGAGCAAGATTTACCACCCTGGCTGATTTCTGGATGAGGAAGTAGTAAAGGGGAAAAACCTAATTATTTAATAATAATTAATTATTAATATAAGAAAGAAATAATCATCTCTCTCAGTACCTTGCTGGCTGTCATTGACATGGATAAAGTCTTTCAAGGTGATTTTGAAAGCTTCCTCTCCTCTCCTGTCTTCTCTTGTCCTCTCCTCACTTCAGGAACTTTTTGACTGGATCTTTACATTTACAAAGCACAGAACCCACCCAAGACCTCCAGGTCTCCCACATTGCCAATTACTTGAGGTTTTTTTCATTAACTATTGGCTACCCATGAGAGAGGAAGATAAAAGTGGTTGGGGGATTATTTTATTTATCTTTTGGCCTAATACTGCTGATACATTTTAAAGCTTTTCAGACTCACTAATATTTTTACTATCCAAAAATATGCCTTACTTCTCTTAATATTTACCAAAATCACTACATATACATTGGTTTCCAGAAACTTTGACTAAAGGTATGCAGTGAAAAGTATCCGGGCCAAGAAACTTACAGGGGCTTGAATGGAGCAGGATGACAAATATCCAGCTGAAATTGGGAGGAAATATATCCATCATTGGAATGTTCATAAATACCTGGGGGTGTTGGGTTACTTCTTAAGTTTTCTACTGGTTCTTTGGCTTTGTACAAACCGAGTTTAAAAGGAAGCATTTTCTTGCACTAGAGAGATCAATCAATAAATCATTAAGTCAATCAGTGAGAATTTATTAAGTATCTAATATGTGCCAGGCAGTGGGCTAGACTCCCTTCAAATAGAACAAATTTGTATGAAAATTTTAACCAATAGAGACAGCAGACTGAGAACTTGATGTGGGTTCCACTTGCTGAGTCCTTTGGGGACATAAACTTGTTCCTTTGAATGTCTCTTTTAGCTTCTCATTCATTAAAGACAGGATAAAAGCTAAGGATAGCCTTTGAGTATAACATTTCACTCACACAAGGCCTAATATAACTATAAAATCGTTTTGTGTCTATCTTATGTTCAACCCATTCTAAGCCATCCTATAGACAGTGCCAGTTCACAAGAAGGGTTTTAAAAAGTCGAATGGCATTTAAGTTAAATGTCTTTCATGTAGCAAGCTATCATATGGTTTTTCTCCAACTTTGTCTGACTTTTCAGACTCAATCCAACATAAATAAAACCTCAGGCACTGAATCCAATGTAGTCTCTCTATTATCAAATAAAATAATACATAAAGCACTCTGCAAAGCTTAAAATGCCATATAAATGTTAATTGTTATTATTGCCAGGAGAAAATGTTTCAGCCTTTGATAGGCATGTTGATTAATAGGAACCCAAGGCAAAAGTTATTACAAGAGGTTTACCTGTAAAGAGAGGACCATAGCAACATAGTAATTCTAACAATCAGCTCTGGGTCTCTGCCACATTTTTCTCACCTACCTGATGGCCCTAATGACAGTTTTCAGTGGTGGTGTGAGGTCTTCTACTGAAACATCACATTGACATCCTTTCTCATCATACACATCATCAGTTCCAAGAGCAGTGTCAGCTGTAAGATAGAATTATTAGTTGAGTAACAAATCCTTAGAACAAAACCAATGATTTAAAACACAACCTGGTGTTTGTCTTCAATTTAAATATCGCCACTGCGTAAGTCAAAAATATAAACCATCTAACCCAAGGTGGGTAGGTGGTCTGATCTTAGCCAGTTTCCACCCTTGTACTGGGTGGCTCCCATGTCTGAGACATTCTCTTTCTTATCTTCCGTCTCTTAGAATCCTTCCAAGCTCAGCTCAGGCACCACTGTGTTTGTGGATGTTGTGCAGTCATGTCTGAACGTGACCCCATCTGGGGTGTTCTTGGCAAAGATAATGGAGTGATTTGCCATTTCCTTCTCTGGCTCATTCTACAGATGAGGAAACTGAGGCAAACTGGGTGAAGTGACTTGCCCAGGGTCACATAGCTAGGAATTATGAGGCCAGATTTGAACTCTGGAAGAGGAATCTTCCTGATTCCAGGGCCAGCACTCTATCCACTGTGCCACCTACCTGTCAGTACCACTGTCTACCTGAAGCCTTTTCTGACTTCTCTACATTCCACTGTCTCTCCCCTCAACATTCCCACATTATTTTCTATTTGTTTTCTTCATATTTTGCAGATTTTTATATACATTCATGTTTTCTTCCCCAACAGATCATAACATTTTAACTGTTTACTTTTTGTCTTTAGTAGTTCTAGCACCTAGCACCATGCCTGGCACATAGTAGGTGCTTTATAAGTGTTCATTGATTTTTTAATTTTAATCAATTTAATACATTAGTTTCTTTGTGCTGCCATTTCCCTTCCCTTATTACTTCACAGCAGGGTCAAAGTTTAACACAGTGTTAGATGTTTCCGTGCTGCAACAGCCTACTGGTTGTCTCCACGCCAATCCTTCCTCCACTCAGCTGTCAAATTAATCTTCCTTAAACACAGGTCTGACCATAACACCTTTTTATTCAATAAACTCTGGTGGTTCCTTGTTCCCATCAAGATAAAATATGAAATCCTTTGTTTGGTTTTTACAGTTCTTCATGATTTGGCCCCTTCCTACCTTTCCAGTTTTCTTAGACCTTACTTTCTTGACATACTTTGTGATACAGTGACACTGCTTCCTTGCTTTTCCTTGAACCCAACATTCTATTTCCAGACTCTGATCATTTTCTCCGTCTCTTCCCCATTCCTGGAACTCTCTCCCTCATCTCTGGCTCCTGGCTTCTCTGGTTTCCTTCAAGACTAAGCTAAAGTCTCACTTTTTTTTTTTTTTTGGCTAAGCAATGGGGTTAAATGACTTGCCCCATAACTTGTGTTATGGGTCTGAGGCTGGATTTGAACTCAGGTCCTCCTGAATCCAGGGCTGGTGCTCTATCCACTGTGCCACCTAGCTGCCCCTAAAGTCCCCCCTTCTTAAAGAAGCCCTTCTCAGTCCTTCTTAATCTTAGTGCCTTCCCTCTTAGATTATCTCCAATTTATTACACACACACATATCTTGTTTGATTTATCATATATGTGATATATCAATTTATCATCTATCTCTACCTTGTTTGAGGGCAGCTAGGGGGTGCAGTAGATAGAATTCTAGGCTTGAAGTCATGAAGATCTGAGTTCAAATACAGTCTCAGACACAAGCTTGTGTGACCTTGGGCAGGTCACATAACCCTGTTTGTCTCAGTTTCCTCATTTGTAAAATGAACTAGAGAAGGAAATAGCAAACCACTCCAGTATCTTTGCCAAGAAAACTCCAAATGGGATCACAGAGATTCAGACACGACTGAAATGACTGAGCAACGAATTACCTTGTTTATATATGTTTGCTTTTTGTCTTCCTTGTTAGGCTGTGAGCTCTTTGAGATCAAAGACTATTTTTTTTTGTCTTTCTTTGTATCCCCAGCACTTAGCATAGTAGTTGGCATATACTAGGCATTTAATAAATGCTAATTGACTTCTGCTTTCATGTGTACAGATGATCCCAGTGATCTCATCTTATCTGTCATTCAGGTGCTTGTTTTGAGTTGACTTTTCTGTAATAGTGATGGCTCTATTACTTATCTCATACAGTGGTGAGGGAAGTGCTACGTAAATAGTAAAGAGTCAATGAATGTGAGCTATTATTGTGTACCTAAGTGTACACAAATAAGTAAACATAAGGTGGTTTGAGGAGGGTAAGAACACTTAGAACCAGGGGTGAGGCAGAATCAAGGAAGACCTCACAGAGAAGGGTGCTACATGAGCTGAACCTTGAAGAATGACAAGGATTCTGAGAAGCGGCGATGGAGGAGTGCTTTTCAACCTTGAAAGTGCATGGAGGTGAGAGATGAATGTCAAGTTGGGGGAATTGTTGAAAGTCCTTTTTGTCTAGAATGAAGGGCGTATCAAAGAGAACAATGGGAAATAGGATAATAAAGCCAGAACTATGTCCTTTTTCCGTTCTAACTCTGGTTGCTCCAACTAATGCGACCTACTCACTGGGCCAGGCAGAGGCCTGCTTCGTAACCACTCAGGGCTGAATTGATAAGGTTAATAGGCCATAAAAGAGTCAAACATTCTCATACCTACAGGACCTGACACAATTTAGTGCCCTGCTCTTGAAGCATATGCCAACAGGCTTCACTCTGTGAAATAGTTAGGCAGGTATTATTTCTCTCACTTTACAAATGCAGAAACTGAAGTCCAACGATTCTAAATGACTTTCTCAAGCTTTGTTGTTTAGTTGTTTTCACTCATATCTGACTCATTTGGGGTTTTCTTGGCAAAGATACTAGAGTGGTTTGCCATTTCCCTCTCCAGCTCATTTTACAGAGGAGGAACTGATTCAAAAAGAGTTAAGTGATTTACCCAGAATTACATAGCTAGGAAGTGTCTGAGGCCAGATTTGAACTTATGAAAATAAATCTTCCTGATCCCAGGCCCTGTACTCTATCCACTGCGCCACCTAGCTGTCAGTGGCAGAACTGCATTTTGAACCCAAGTCCACTGCACCACAGCATACTATGGAAAATTCTTTTTTGTTTTTTTGTTTTTTTTGGCTAGGCAATGGGGTTAAGTGACTTGCCTAGGGTCACACAGCTAGTAAGTGTTATGTGTCTGAAGCTGGATTTGAACTCAGGTCCTCCTGAATCCAGGGCCGGTGCTCTATCCACTGTACCATCTAGCTGCCCCATATACTATGGAAAATTCTTAAAGCTGTTCTGTGAACCATAGGGTCTTCAGAACTGCAAAGAGAGAGAGACTGAGACAGAGAGACAAAGACAGAGACAGAGAGAGACAGAGAGAGTGAGAGACAGAGAAAGCTGGAGAGGATAAAAATATAGGAGTAGTGATAAACTGTACATTGCATATGACTAGCATGGTATGATGAATAGAACTTCGGCCTTGGGCTGAAGAAGACCTGGATTAATGTCCTGACTCAGATACTGACCAGCTTTTATGACCCTGGGCAGGCGCCTGTTTTCCTCATTTGTAAAATGGTGATAGTAATAATATACAGATAAATATCTGTAGTATTTAACTTAAAAGGTTATGAGGTTCAAAGGAGTTAATGCATACAAGGTGCTTTCTAAACTTTAAAGTGAATTATAAATGTCCATTGTTAGTCTTGTTATTCTAGCAGTTTTCAGAGGAGAGAATCCACAGGGAGGCCATTAGGGAGTTTTTGGGAGATGCTTAAGCATTAGACCTTGACATTTTCTTCTGAGTAGATAACATATGAAACATTCTAAATACAGCATTTGAGTACTATGTATAGTAAGAATTTCCCTTAAAAACTGTCAAATGCATATTCATGCCCACATTTTATCAGATGCAATACTGCAGGGAACCAAGAAGTTTCTGTACCCTTTCCCTTTTATTTTGTTATGTTTTGCATTAGTTGGGTAGACTCAAAGGGAGTTCTATAATATAACCACATGATATACAACATTTCAAAATGAATTTTCATTACTGTTCATTAGCATAGTTACTTTAAGATCTAGGTGTTAACCTACTTCCTACATGTGAAGAAAATGCAACATCTCTTGTATACAACTTCTTTCTAATTTACAGGCAGTTTAGGTGGCACAAGAGATAGAGTGCTGGGTCTGGTGAACTCAGAATGATGTGAGTTCAAATCCAGTCTCAGATACTACTAGCTGTGTGACCCTGGCAAGTCATGTAAGTTTGCTCATCCATAAAATGGGTATAAAAATAAGCACCTATCTTGCAGGGTTGTTGTGAGGATCAAATGAAATAATAATTATGACATGCTTAGCACAGTGCCTGGCACACAGTAAGTACCATATAAATGTTAACTGTTATTATTACATGACTTTTTAATTTTTGCTTTTGGAGGCAATCATGCCTAAGTGACTTGCCCAGGGTCATAGAGGTAGTAAGTGTCTAAGGCTGGATTTGAACTTGGGTCCTACTGAGTCAAGGGCTAGTGCTTTATCCACTGTATCACCTAGCTGCTCTTACATGGCTTTTCACATAGGCTTTTGCAATCCCCTAACTAGTCTCCCTTCTTCCAGACTTTTTACCTTCCAATCCATCCTAGCTAGAGTCATCTATTTGGAATGCACAGCTCTGACCATGTTATTCTGTTTAAAACCTGCAGTGGTTCCTCATGGCTTACCAAAAAAAAAAAAAAATCTAGACCTTAGTTTGACATTCAAGGTCCTTCATGATCTAGTTTCAACCTTCAATTCAACCTTTCCACGTGAATATGATTGATTATTCTTTATTGCACTCCAGTCAGAACTGGTCTTTTTACTCCCCTCTCCCTGCAAATCTGATGTTTTTTGCCACCTCCACTTTTGTTCATGTTTTTTTTTCCCAAGCCTAGGATTATTCTCTCCTCAACCTGCCCCTGCACCTAATAACTAATCCTTTCCCCGCATTTTCACCTTGCAAGGTGCGGGGGAAATGATAGTGATTTCTCCAAAAATCCCTTATCTCTGAGCTGGTAATGATCTCTCCCTTATCTGATATCATAGCACTTTGTCTTATGCACTTGCTGATTATATTCTTTTTTTT